GATCAGCTCCCCAAATGACCTTGAGTTGGGCAGAGCTAGCTGTCACCGCTAGCTCCGCCCAATTCTTTTTTATTTTTTATAATATATTTATTTTTAAACTTTACTATTTATTTACATATTTTTCTACTTTTTTTTACTGATTTTCTATTCTGCTCGGTACCACGGATGTACCGAGCAGAATAGCCGAATGCCTCTCAGCGACATTTGGCTATTCACTCACTGCCATTCGGCCCCTATGTGAATTGGGCGAACGGCAGCGAGTGAGCTGCCGAAGCTTCGGCTCAGCCGATCCAAATGTTGGATCGGCTGAGTCGAAGTCCTTCTGTACTTCGGCTCAGCCGAACGTGCAGAGCAGAAATCAGCTGTACTGAGCCGGAGTGAATAGCCGAGCATCATTTGCCTCTCTTCACTTCGGCTCGGTTATTCACTAGGCTGCCTTCCCTGTAAGTGATATTGGGACTCACATTTTATGACCAAAGTTAAACTAAAGGTCAATTATTTTGTTATTAAACCAGGTGATCTTTAGCCGAGGCTATCAAGTGTCCTAGATGGTAATTTTTCATTAACGTTTTATGACAGGTTATATCTGGTGCCCCACTTAGGTAATTAGTCCTTCAAGACCACAGGCCCAAATTAGCAGATATCTGTTTGCTTTGGAATGTTAAGATGGACTAAACAAAATTTAACTCATCATTGTCAGGACAGCCTGTTGTAATTTGAACTGGAGATAATGAGTTTCAGCAAAATAAGGCGAGGATGGAATGTTCTAATTAATATTGGGATGCTAAGACCTCATTACCGTCACAGGGAACATGCAATTTTGAGGCATGATGTATTTGACAGCGAAAAGGTTAAAGATCATATGAGATTTTAGTAATCAGGTTTACATCTACTTTAATAATACAACTATCACAATGCTTTGTTGAGTAACGTATGTCATCATATCACTATCTGCCCTCCCCTTTAGCGCTAAGCTGGTAGACTGAGAAGGTATAGAGCTGAGCTGTTTCCTTCATGCACAGCAGTCATTGGACATACGTGATGTTACACGTTAAAAGGCTTGTGTAACACAAACACACACAAATATGGCACATGCATACGTAAATGACAGTTGCACAATGTGTATTAGGTATCCCCATGCACATCGGAGGGAGAGGTCATTATTTATGCTTAGCTCAAAACTGATGAGCTGTAAAGGTTTTTATTGCTAACTTTGAGTATTGTAGTTTGTCACCTTTTCTCGGGCACGCACAGTTTGGAGACTTAACATATTTGATATCTCTTTACTCCACACAGTCTCATCTTTTACTTTTTACAAAAATCTGTGATTATAATGTGCACTAAACTTAATTTTAATGTGTTTTAAACAGAAAATAAAGGTTTGATAAACAATGTCGCAAACATCCTGTGATGTAAAAATAAATTGCAACTACCATCTTTTTATTTCACTTGTTCTCTGATTTATTAAACATGTAATACTTTGGGGGCTTTAAGTAACTTTCAAGCTAAAAATTCAGATTTTAACATATGTGCAAAAAATGCAGTGAGAAGGTGAAACAGTAGAATTGATTGGGTTTACATTGCATTAATAAAACTATTACTGTGCTGAGTAAGGTATGTCATTATTTGCTATTAAAGTTGATTGGGTTACATCTACTTTAATAATAAACTATCACCAGTGGTGTATCCAGGGTATGGCATATATGGCACATGTCTTGGGCGCCACTTGAACGGGGGATTCCACTCTGTTGTTCTGCAAAAGTCAGAGAAAGCAGACTCATGATGTCATCAGTTAACCCCCGCAGCTTATGATTAGTTGCTAGGACCGCCCAACGTCCTAGCAACCAACAAAAGACATGCATGATCTCCCCGACCTTACCTAGCATTCAGACCAAAAGCGGAAGAGGACAGAACTCCCTCCTCCAGACCTGCTCCTACAGTGCTCCACCTACTCCAGTGAGCCGCCCGCCTCCTCAAGTGATCAGCCTGAACCGCCTCCTCCAGTGCTCCGCCTCTGAGCTTGAGAAGAGACTCTCATGTAAAGGGGGGCTCTGGGGAATCTGATTTAAAGGGGGACTCTAATGTAAAGAGGCACTCTGGGGACTTTGATGTAAATGGGGAAGGGGACTCGGGGGACACTGATCTAAAGGAAGAGAGGGACTCTGATGTAAAGGGGGTTTCTGGGGACTCTTAGTACTCTGATGTAAAGAGGGCTATAATGTAAAGGGGAATTCTGGTAGGGGAACTCTGATGCAGTGATGTGCGGTACCGTTGGTTCCAGGTGAAGTATTCCCCAGCCTCGCCCCCAGCACGCCCTGCCCCCAGCCCATGAAGCCCCACCCACCTGTTAAAACTCCGCCCATCCACCAAAACTCCACCCCCAACTGGGTCCCCGAGCTAGTGTGAAGGAGGGAGGAGACAGGTAGGAGCCTCCCTGTACCTCACTTGCTGGTCACTGCAGAGGCATCGAGATCGATGGCCTCAGTGTTTTGTTTTTTTCTTTTTTTGATTGGACAGCTTGGACCAATGGTGCTTTTCCATTGGTCCAAGCCATCCACAGAGCTCACGCCTCTAACACAGAGTAGAGGCTGTGACAGCTCTTGTCTCACTAGCTCTCTGATGCAAAGGGGGAGAGGGACTTTGATGTAAAGGGGGGTTCTGAGTACTCTGATGTAAAGAGGGCTGTAATGTAAAGGGGAATTCAGATGAGGGAACTCTGGGGACTCTAATGTAAGGGGTCAAGGCAGATTATATAAATGTAGTGTAGAAAGAGAAGAAACTGAAAAAACTGACTTTGATTACATCATAGACCATTTTGCATCACTGAAAGCAAAGGAGTTGACGTGATGAGTTTCATGTAGTGTTAATTAAAAGTTAGCAAGCATTTTTGAGTTATTATTGTAAAGTTATCTTCAATATGAGTGTCAGATTTTGAAAAGGGGCGTAATCTCAGTATTTGTTATAGGCCCTATCCTCTGGCTATCACATTGCTGTGTTGGGTAAGGTATGTGACCATGGGCTATTAGAATTGATTGGTTTACATCTACTTTAATAATAAAACTAACACATTGCTTTAATGGATAAGGTATGTCATAATGTGCTATTATACTTGATTGGGTTTATATCTACTTTAATAATAAAACGACATGCATGAGGTATGTCATAATTTACTATTACAATTGATTAGGTTACATCTACTTTACCTATAAAACTATCTCACTGCTGTTTGCAACAAAAAATCTGCGCTTTTGGAAAGTAAACTAAAAGTCAAATAATGATCCTAAAGCTGCTATGAGAGGTGTAAAGTGAAAGTGTAAAGTGTTGTCACAGCACTAAAGGTTTGAGATAAATATGAAAATATGTGAATATATATGGATCAAAACATGAGTGACACCCTGTGTGTAAGTGTTCAAAAAAACCTACCATTAATGAATATAAAGTACCATAAAGGACTGAAAAAGTGCTGATGTGCAAACAATCAAAAGGAAAGCTACATTCCTCAATAGGATAAGTGAATAAATGTAACAGGATATCACACTATAAAAATATTAAAACTAAGTATATCGAAGTGAACTATAAAAAATTAAATAACCATTCAATAAAATTATTTCATAAATATGTGAAGAAGTGCAAATTAGCAGTGAAAACAGTGAAGCAAATGTAACAATCAAAATTGTATTGCAAATACAAAGATGAAAAGGATGTAAAAAAATGAAAAAAACGAAAAATGAAAAAAGAAAAAACACAAGTCCTTCCAGAAATCTGTTACATTTATTCACTTATCCTATTGAGGAATGTAGCTTTCCTTTTGATTGTTTGCACATCAGCACTTTTTCAGTCCTTTATGGTACTTTATATTCATTAATGGTAGGTTTTTTTGAACACTTACACACAGGGTGTCACTCATGTTTTGATCCATATATATTCACATATTTTCATATTTATCTCAAACCTTTAGCGCTGTGACAACACTTTACACTATCTCACTGCTGTATTGGGTAAGGTATGTCATCCTTTACTATTAGAATTGATTGATTTACATCTACTTTGATAATAAAACGTTCACACTGCTGTGCTGGGTAATGTATGTGATCATTTGCTATTAGACTTGATTAGGTTACATCTACTTTACTAATAAAACTATCACATTGCTGTGTTGGGTAAGATACTGTATGTCATCATTTCTTATTAGAATTGATTGGGTGTGCATCTACTTTGATAACAAAATGACACATTGCTGTGATGAGTAAGGCATGTGATCATTTGCTATTAGGCTTAATTGGGTTTATATCTACTTTAATAATAAAACTACATACATTAGGTATGTGATCATTTACTATTAGAATTGTTTTGGGTTACTTTGATAATAAACTATCACCTTGCTTTGATGTGTAAGCTAGGTGATCATTTGCTATTAGAATTGTTTGGGGGTACTTGGATAATAAACTGTCACCTTGTTCTGACGAGTAAGGTATGTGGTCATCTACTATTAGAATTATTTGGGGTCACTTTGATAATAAACTATCACCTTGCTTTGATGTGTAAGCTAGGTGATCATTTGCTATTAGAATTGTTTGGGGGTACTTGGATAATAAACTATCACCTTGTTCTGACGAGTAAGGTATGTGGTCATCTAGTATTAGAATTATTTGGGGTTACTTTGATAATAAACTATCACCTTGATGTGATGAGCAAGGTATGTGATCATTTAATATTAGAAATGGTTAGGTGTCCATGTATTATGATAATAAATAATTGCTGTGTTGGGTAAGGTATGTCATCATATACTCTCCCCTTTAGCTGTAAGCTGGCAGACTGGCACTATACAGAAGTGAGCTGTGTCCTGCATGCACAGCAGTCAGTGGACATACATGCTGTTACATTGCCCCGTGTGCAGTAAAGAATCCAGGCCACGTTTTACCTTGTGATGTGGGTGACTCCAGGAAGGCTTGTGTAATGCTCCAGATAGGGGAGAACGGAGGACATGCGCAGTCCAGCCCCGAGCTCTTCATCTAGCACATAGCAGCGAGGCTGTAGTGGGCTGAGCTGGCACTACACCTGCAGCACCACAGTCAGAGGACAGCTCCACTCTGCAGCACCAGACCCAGGTAACACCAACCCATCCTTCCTCCTACTACGGATTGCTGCTCTCTGCCCATCACATGCATAGCTTATCAATGTCATCTGATGGTTGATTGCAGATCAAGGGCTGCAGGGTTCCCAGGAAGAAGGGAAAACAGCATTATCAACCTAGAGACGGCAAGAAGGATTTCTGCAGGGGGATCAGCAGAGATTGCAAGTTCTCTAAACTTCCCAGCACTTGACAAAGGGCAGAAATGGATACCAAAGGTAAGCAGTGTGCTGTGTGGGGGGTCACTTGTAAAACATGTGTGGTCTCAGTAGGGAATCAGGCTGGAGACTGCAATGCTGTGTGGCTAAGTGTGCTGCTGGGTCGATAGGAAGAAACATATACCCCAGCAATACTGCATTGAGCTGTGTTAAATGTGTCCTGAGCTAAGGATGTCAGTCCAAGGGAATCCTGGAGCATCAAACATCTGTGTGTGTCATTGCGATGTGTGCTAGGCGAGGCACAGCTCGCAGGAGATGCTGCTGCTGCTAGATTGTGCATCATTAATATATGCAGTACGTCTAGGCAGGGTGCACAGCCACTAGCATTCAGTCTCAGGCTTCATACGCTGCTTCAGCAAGGGCTGGGTTGAAATGAAACTTCCAGTCTGTCTTTTTTTTTTCAGTGCATAGATATGATGAGATCTCCTCGAGTGGATCTGACGCTTTAGTGGAGGACTGTGGATGAGGACTGGTCTATCCCTTGTCAATATGCTGCTTTCCATTCAGACATGTCAGATTCTTCATGTATATGGAATCATGAAGGTGTATGTGGGAACAGCTGAAAAACCATGGTGGTGTGTTAAACAGAGAGTGAAATGCATGGAGGGCGCTGACACAAGTTGATAATATTAAAAAAACAACAACGCTCCACCTACAACTAATATGTATCCCTCCATTGTAAATAGCCATATTATAATGTGGATAATAACCCTAAATTAAGCCGACTAGCTACAAAGAAACGGATATTAGCCAAAGGCCCTCATATACATATTAAGTAAACATAGTAGAAAAGGATAGACTCTTTGAAAACTCAAGTATAATGTGGAATTGTTCAAGAAACTTTTGGACGATTTCTTAAGGGACCGTAATATACAGGGGTACGGGTACTCCTAGAATGAGATCCTAATAGGTTGGACTTGATGGACTAATGTCTTTATTCAACCTCAAATACTATGTAACTATATAATGTGGATAATAACCCTAAATTAAGCCGACTAGCATCGCTGACACAAGTTGATAATATAAAAAAAACAACAACGCTCCACCTACAACTAATATGTATCCCTCCATTGTAAATAGCCATATTATAATGTGGATAATAACCCTAAATTAAGCCGACTAGCTACAAAGAAACGGATATTAGCCAAAGGCCCTCATATACATATTAAGTAAACATAGTAGAAAAGGATAGACTCTTTGAAAACTCAAGTGTCTTCCTAAATCTGTACTTTTTGTTAAATGTTGATGCATTTTTGTTGATATTCGAACTGAAATACCCTATACCAGGGTGGGCAACCTTGGCACTCCGGCTGTAGTGGAACTACAAGTCCCATGAGGCATTGCAAAATGCTTACAGCGAGACTTGGAGTGCCGAGTTTGTTAAGCCTTGCCCTAAAATAAAGAATTTATTTAAAAAATAATATCATAGGTTAGCACAGTACAAAGTCCAAAATAAATAAAAGTACAGCGATCTCCAGTCCACAAATTCAGAATAAAAAAGTGTTCATCAGAAAGTGAATCTGTGTCCAGATCACAGCCACATATATGATACAATCCTGCTTATAAACATTTCAATCTTCTTCACCTTTCTCTAATTCACTAACTCTTGTCACTTTATAAAGTAAGTACTCATCAGAGTGTTTTCACTGCTTGGTATATAAGTAGGTGGAATGCGGTACTAATATATTGAACTCCTTTTGCCAGGCCCTCTCTTTAGGACCATCTCTATGACACCCCCCATGGATATTAATAATCCGACAGGGAGATAAAAATATAACTAATCAACTCAAAACTGTGTTTAAAAACACTATGGGGGGAACTTATCAAAACTGGAGCTGTACGAATCTGGAGCAGTTGCCCAGGACAACCAATCAGCTTCTCTCTTCAGTTTGTTCAGTTAAGCTTTGTAAATGCAAGATAGAAGATGATTGGTTGTCATGGACCAGATTCTATCTGCTCCAGTTTTAATAAATCCCCCTAAATATGTAATCATTATTTAAAAATACCACACTCAACCTTTTAGGGGTCATAGTATTAAACATATAAATCCATTTTATCATGTTTCTGTATACTTCTCTCTTTAAATTAGCACTTCCACTCATCCCCCCCCCCCCCCCCGCTCCTTCAACTCTATCTATAGCGTAAAATCAGAAACTACTTGATTATGGAAATGCCATGACATGGTTGTGATTTTACTAACCCCTTTTTATACTGAAAACATGTCCACACTGAGCCAGCTTCCTAGTTGTCCTCCCCACATACTGTACGCCACATGGGCACTTCAGGATGTGAGTGACATATGTATAATAATTACACAACATATTCTCTACCCGGATTTCATTGTAAGAGTAATATCTTCTTGGGTTACCCTTTACAAGTTATGTACCCCTCACAGGCAACGAATCCTTTCCCTTCAAACATGAAATCCCATTCCTCCTTGGTGGATCTAATACATTAGATGCCAGCCTTAAACGTAAAGAGGGCTTTCTTGTACATTAAATGAGAACTATGGGGTTAAGGCTTTTCCCCATAGTTCTCCTTAGGGTAACGGGAGGACACAAACAAGCGTCCTCCCGTCACCCTAGGCTCAGTATACCGCGAGCTGTAGCTCGCGGTAAACTGAGACGCCGCAGAATACTGCGAGCTGCTGCTCGCGGTATACTGAGACGCCGCAGCTGAAGCGGATCCTGACAATTGTCGCGGGATCCGCCCAGCTGCGTGACTGACAGCTGTCTCTGCCTATCAGCGCCAGTCAGCGCTGGCGCATCGGAGCGGAGAAGGGGTAATCCAGCCCCTCCCCTGTCATGGCAGAGAGCCGTGACAGGATCGAGAAGTGAGCGAACCCAGTATGTGTTCGCTCACCTCCCGATCTACTGAGCCGACCTGTGACAGTCTCATTGTCACAGGTCGGCTAGAACTATGAGGTGAGTGAAAAGCACTCATGTCATAGTTCTCCTTTAACTTTAAAAGAAAAAAAATAAGTCAATTTGTGATGGACTTCAATGTACACTATAAGGAAGTGGAAAACATATTTGAATTTATAGAAAACATCATTCTATACAGTATATTAGAAGGGGGGTAGAAGTGGCCTCAATATCTTATCTTTTTGAAACATTGACTATTCATTTCAAATATATGTTCTACTCCCATATATTGTACATTGAAGCCCATCACAAATTTTTCCTTTTAAGGTTCATACTGATAAGATCTCCCTTATTACCTCCCAGTACCCCCCTGTGGCTTGTCTCAGTTGGGCACATTTATAACCTGTCTGCTTAAATCTGTTCAAAAGAACATTTACAGGGTTATTCACAAAAGGGTGAAGAGTTTGGAGAAGGCAGGGGAAGTGACCAATCTAGGCCAAAATAGCTGATTTGGAAAAATTCTCCAATTCAGCTCACTTTCCAGTTCAGCTATGTTGTCCTAGATTGTTCACTTCTCCAAACTCTTCACCCTTTTGTGAATAACCCTGTTAATTGTTTATTAGTCATCCAATTTATCACAATTTTTCCAAAAAGTTTCTGGTATGCCCTTTTGGCACGTTAAAATTTCATTCAGCATGGTGGCATTGAAATAATTTAATGACAATTGTAATGATCAGTCATCCCTCCCTCCAGCTCCCTCCCATATAATCAGTACATCTTCCATAGTGTTGGGTTCCGCCATACTTGCCCATAGATGGATTCACTTTACCACTTGGCAATGGATAGGTTAGAGAGACTAGGAGCGTACTTAACAGCAATCAATACTCTCTTTGTAAATATGTTTTCCTCCACACATAAAGTAATGATAGGTCATGACCAATTGTAAACATTTCTAAACATATTTAGATGGTGCTGTTGGTATATGTGAGCTCTCAAAGTATCCATGTTTAAGATTCTATACCATCAGTATGTTTTCTCATAGTATACAGCGATGACACATTATCTAAAGGGATCTGTTTCAAACAATGAACGGGCTTGTTGTCTTATTACAAAAGTGGGGGTAGATATCACTAATGGCTGAAGGTCAAAATCTAAATATTCTCTCAACTTTGATGTAAGAGAGGATATTGTGCGCACCATCAGCCTGCGGGGAAGTTTTATGCTCATGTATTGTGGGCAAATACTATTTAACAAGTAACCTACATATACATTAAACATTTGACTCCTGTTTTATCAAGTGTTCCAAGTTTTTTGTTTTTGTTTTCTGATACAAAAACACCCCACAGGCCTATGTTCATTCATGGACAAGCACAATTCTTAATTTCAGGCCATTTGGGCTGTTTTGACCTTCAGAAAAGCTATCTCTATATCAGTTCATGTAGATGTTTACAACTGGATAGCTTTTTATCTTTATATTTGTCTGAACAGTGGTTTTGTTGTTAAGTCTTACTATAACTTTATTTTTATTGTTTTTATGTACATATTAGAAGTCTAGTAAGAAAATATACAGTGCCTGACTATACACATTGCTGTAACGCTATGTATTTTCTAAAGACACGATTTTCAGGATTGATAGTGTTGCAGATTGTGCTGAAGGTCACCGAGTAAACACATATAAGGTGTAGGGGCAACAGAACAGGGACCATGCTGGGCCATAGAAGTCATTGAGGAGGTATTGGAGCACAGGTCAAGGGGTCTGAATATTGCTTGAACCAGAAGTTTCCGTCAATTTGTATAATGGTCAATTTGTATAATTGATGAATACATGGCTATTTTGTTTTTTGTATTTAGCCCTTGTATTATGGGTCTCATCTTTTTTTCTAGACATTTTATTTGAACCCTGCTAATATGTAACAGGACATCTTCTACTTTTTAACTCACAAATGTTGTTTACAAATATAAGGTGAACGGCATTCAATAGCAATGAACTATGACTTGACAATGATTACATGTACACATGGTTGTCACTGATTTGCACTACTTGTGAGTAATGAAATTAGAGCAAATGTTAGATAAGTCTGCTACCGTTGGTAGCTAATCATGTATCTGCTATCGTTCTCTTACTTTCATTTTTAA